CCTGAAAAGAAACAGAAAAGGATTGAGAAACTCAACGAGAAATGGTTGGAAATGTTCTCAATTGCAGTACTTCCTGAAAAAGCCGCCATTAACGCGCTGAACACGCCTGCCAGGTTGGGCTATACTCATTTGAAATTAACCATCACGGCACTGTAGCAATGGCTGGCCTTTGATGCGCCGCTCTCTTAGAAAGTACTGACATACCGGGAGGACGTGGGCCCACAGCCCGCAGTGCGACCATGAATCCGGCAGCAGTAAAGGCGGAGTGAGGTGTATAGAGTACTATAGACCCAAGTTCGAATCCAGCAACATATAGATGAGCAGGATTAAAAGAGTGTGAAATACTTAGGGCCGCCAGTTTAGTCATGATACCTCACAGCCTATTCAGTGGTGCAGCTGAATTGGTTAGGCACGCCTCCTGCGGTATGTCAGGTGAGGAAAGACAATATGAGAGAATAATGATGTGGTGTCAAGAGGAGCGGGGCTATGCGCCCCCTCCCCCAACTCAACTGCCCGGTCTTCATTATACTTATCAGACGCAGAGGAGTGTGGGGCGGTGGAGACGCTGTCAGGGGAGGAAGAGGGAGGCGTGCGTGGTTGGGGAGGTCGCAACAGGCAATTGGTTGGATACTCCCCAGCAGCAGCCATGGCATCTGTGGATACTATCACTCCATCTAGGCTTAATGGAGGCTGTCATGTAGGCAAGCAACTAAGGCTACTTTGCAAGTTCTACCTGTCACATTTTCTAAAGAAAAGAAATAAAAAAGGATAGCCCTGCTCAAGGGGATTGGAAAGGAAACAAAAAACAACAAGTGCAGTTCAGTGGGTACACCGGTTGGTACACCCACAAACTATTGAAACGCTGGCCTGGGGAGAAACCGATGCATGTCTGGGACTACTCTATGAAGGGTGGTTACAGAGCTTCAAGCCCAGAGGTACCCACCACCCAAATCATAGTTGACCGATGGGCCCGGGACTCACCTATCGACACGGCCCTGCTGCACAACCTGTCATGGTCTACATACGCAAAGATTATGCCCACAAACCTCCGGTCGCTGCAGTGGCAAATCCTA